TTTATTTAAACCTAATTTATTTAAACCTAATTTATTTAAACCTAATTCAGCAAATACTTTCTGCTAAATTAGGCTTGTTTTGCCATTTCAGCTACATTTCAGCTGTTCTTCAGCTGTTCTTCAGCTGTTCTTCAGCTGTTCTTCAGCTGTTCTTCAGCTGTTCTTCAGCTGTTCTTCAGCTGTTCTTCAACAATGAACATTCACTGCATTTTTGCAGGAAATGTTTTCTCCAGTTTCAGTAAATTTTTTATAGAATTAAACACAATTAGAATAATTTTGGGTTTTAACGACGACAGTTTGTCCTTTAAATATTTTTAAAATTGTTTTTCAGCTCAAACGTTTTTTAGATGAAAATAATTTTAAGTTCGGGACAGTTCACATAAAACCACAAAACGGTTCTGGTTCTTTGAACTGGGTCTCGTGCAGAACCAAACTTTAAAGTGAAAACTTGTTTTTGTGACGGTGAAGGAAGAACCGTACGACCCGGTCAGGTCCAGTTTGGGTTATCTGACCGTGGAACCGTTGGATCAGCAGGGGCTGGCATCAGAACCAAGCAGCGGTACCATTTGTTGGGTCAGATGGTTCTGGACACCCCTCGGAAACATGCCGGTGTTTCTTTTCAGGATCAGGCGGCTGAGAACCGGGTCAGATCCAGACTCGGGTTCTCTGAAACTCCTGCTGAAGTTTAAATCCAAACGGGTTAACGGATCCCTGAAACCAAGTGAAGGCCCGAATGTTCTGATCAGTTGGACCCGACATGGCTGCGATCACAGCCCAGAACTTGAAGAATCCACCACCTGGATCCTGAGTCAGGATCAACCAGGTCTGTGTAAAACCTTTGGTCCAGTTCTCGTTCCAAGCACTCGGACTTTCTGAAGGTCTGTCGGAGCTTTTCTTTGGACCTTGGCTGGTTTCTGTTCAGGTTCGGTCCAGGTCCAGTTTCAGAGGAATGCAATTAGGGCTGTTGTAAACAAATATTTTAGTAATCGGGTAATCTATAGATTATTCTCACGATTAATCGGGTAATCTATAGATTTTTCTGACGATTAATCGGGTAATCTATAGATTATTCTCACGATTAATCGGGTA